TCTCCCAACTTCCTATCTTCTGCAGATATTTTCCAAGCCAGTCTTCACCTACGTCAAAGAATAAAACAGCCCCTTGCCCCTCGGGGGAAAAAAAAGACAAGAACATGATGACAGGCCAAGACCAGAGAGATTACAACAGTTGTCCATCCGTCTGAGACATTCTGTTTGGGTTTGGATTTCTCCATCTTCCAAGATCTTGATGTGAAACTGAAAACTCTTGCTAAAATAAAAACTCAGCATTTTCACAGAATTCTTTTGCTCTAATAAACCTTTTATGTTTCCCTTCTGTGATGCTGGGGTAGAATTTAGAACTAGCCAAGCACACTACCAGTAAGCTATGTCTGTCTCATTTAAGGAAACAAAAAAGCAAAGAGTTTACTTAAATCAGTGAACTTTTTAGTGCATAAATTAATTGTTCATCTAAAAGTAAAATCAGGGCTGGGGACAGCTCAGATGGTAGAGTGCCTGTCCAGCATGCACAAAGCTGTGTTTAAACCTTAGCACTATATCAATTAGGCCTGGCATCAGGTTTGTAACCCCAGGAAGAAGAAACAGAAACCCAAGGCCATCCTTGACTACATATTAAGTTATAACATGAGACTGTCAGAAAACAGTAAACTCAACATTTTAAGAGCATACATTTGGGTGTAAAAGGTGTAACTGAGCAGTAAAAAACCATACGGTATAAATTTGTCTTGTAATTCACATTTTAAAAAATTTGTCTCTCAGACTAGAGAGATGGCTCAGCAGTTAAGAACATGTGCCACTCTTAGGCAGGGCATGGTGCCTGCCTTTAATCCTAGCAGAGGCACATGGCTCTCTGAGTTCCAGGCTAAGCAGGACTACATAGGGACCATCTTGTGGGGGGTACGGTGAGGGGTATTAAATGAAGTCATTATGCAGGCCAGCCAGGCCTTGGACTTTTCATATTCCTGCTTTGTTTCCCAAGTGCTAGAATGACAAGCATAAGTATACCTACACATTTAGCTTATAAGACTTTCCTGATGCCTTAAAAATTTAAGTCTATAGATACAAATTTCTTTAAAGTCACATTTCTTATTCATAGGCACTTATACATCTAGAAGAAAAAAACAAAAATCACAAGGAAAACAGGTTCATCTAGAAGCACATTTAACGGGGCACTAAATTTAAGCACATTCTTGTACTTACTTGCTAAATTCTAAAATTTCTCCAATTTCCAAATTTCCCCTTTAACAGTTTTCTTTAAACTACTTTCTTGCTAAGAAAAAAATATTAAATTTTAGAATTCAGACATCTCAATTTTTTTTGAAAAGACAGCACTCCTGAAAAACTTAATTTTAATCAAACTACAAATAAAAGTAACACCCTATCAATTTGTAAGAGCCTACATTCTTTTCTTTCTTCTTTTTTTCTTTTCTGATTTTTCGTAACAGGGTTTCTCTGTATAACAGTCCTGGCTGTCCCGCTTTGTAGACCAGGCTGGCTTCAAACTCACTGAGATCTGCCTGCCTCTGCCTTCCAAGTGCTGGGATTAAAGGTGTGTACCACCACCACCAATCATCTGAGACTATACTTTTTCATTTAAGTAAAGGCAAAGATGTGAGCAGGGGTGGGGTGGGGTGGAGGGTGGTGGTGTAGAGAATACAACAACAAAACTCAAAACCAAATGTGCCAGCATTTGGGAGGTTAAGGGCAAGATTTGTGGTCATCTTCAGCTACAACACAACAAGTCTGAGGCTGGCCTGGAGCTATTTAAGACTCCAGTTCAAAAAAAAACAACAAAGAAACAACAAAACACTCAGTGGTAGCCTTGGTGGTTAGGAGGGCTTGCTGATACAATCATGAGGACAGGAATTTGAATGCCATCACTCACATACTAAGCCAGGTGTCCCAGAGCATGCCTGCAGCTCCAGCTCCAGGGAGGCAGAGACTGAAGGGTCCCAGTGCTTACTGTCTAATCAATTTAGAAAACGTGAGCATCTCTGGAAGAGACCCTACCTCAAAGAGTGATGGAAAACACAAGATGTCTTTTTATTTGGGAGGGGGTTCTGAGACAGGGTTTCTCTATAGCTTTGGGGCAAGATGTCTGCTTTTGACCTCTTTGTACACGTGTATACACACACACACACACACACCATCTCAGAAGGAAAAATTAAAAACAGGGCCAATGAGAGAGCTCAGAGACTAAAGGTACTTGTGCCAAGACTAGGTTCAAACCCAGAACCCACAAGAATGGAAATATTTCCACAAGTTGTCCTCTGACCTCAATCAGACAGGTAGTATGTATATCAACACATATACTGAAGTAAATACAATTTCTAAAAAAATTTAAAATCGAGTATTTTTTTAAGAGCAATAAATCAGCTATGTTACAATGGAGGCCTAAGTGCTGATCTGAATGACTTCAGTTCACAGAAAGTACACTTACTATGCTAGATCAAGAAAATTGGGTGAACCAGTAACTCTGAGCCTTCTCATTTTTTATTTTTTAATAAAGATTTATTTTTTATGTGTTCTGCCTGCATATACGTCTGTGTGGGGTGTCAGGTCCCCTGCAACAGTAGCTACAGACAGTAGTGGAGCTGTCTGCCATGTGTGGAAGAGGAAGCCAGTGCTCTTAACCCCTGAGCCATCTCTCCAGCCCCCTTCTTTTTTAAAGACAGGATCTCACTGTACAGCCCTGATTAGCCTAGACCCCGCTACCTGCTTCTGCCTCAAGTGCTGGGATTAAAGGTGTGTGTCACCATGCTGGGACAGTCCTCATCTTTTATAAGCAACATTTTTCTTCTTTCTTTTCAAGGTTCCAGAGTCATGAAAGCACTCTGAAAGTTAAAATAAAAGATAAAAAAAGACATATGCTATGTTCTTTAATTTAATGAACACTTGCAGCATACTATACACCAAACAGAAGACAACGTGGTCACTATGGAGGTGGAAAAATGACCAGGACTGTTACCTATAAAATGGTCTGTAAGTCACTTTGATAAAATGAAACCTACTACTATCAACTTTACCACCTATTTTTTCCCTTCCCTTGAAGTAAAAGACCAAAACCAACCAAACAAACAAAAAAATCTTTTAAAAAACAATACCCCCCCCCTTTTCCGAGACAGGGTTTCTCTGTAGCTTTGGAGCCTGACCTGGAACTCATAGAGATTCATCTGCCTCTGCCTCCCAGTGCTGGGATTAAAGGCTTGCGCAGCCACCACCCAGCAATACTGTTGTTTTGTGGAATAAGGGGTCATTTTTGCTGAGCTCCACAGCCCTCAGGAGTTCTTTGCTGCTAAAATACACAGCTGCTGCTCCACTCCATCTGCAGCACAGTGTGAATCGGAAAATGAAGTTTTCATTCTAGGGATCTTTACCTAATTTCACTTTCAATAGCCACCCAGACACCTGTCCTAGTAGGACAGGTGGTGTCTCAGATCTGAGTCTGAAACCAGCCTGCTCTACAGAGTTCCATGCTTGCCAAGGCTATAGAGTGAGACCCTCCCCTCCACTCCCAAAAATAAATAAATACACCTGTTTGGCAAAAAGAAAGAGCAACCCAAGTTCTAACCCCAACTAGACCTCACTTTTATTGAGGTCCCAGTTAAGCTGCCAGTCAGCCCTCACTCCCACAATGAGTTTACCTCACTTTCTTCCTAACCCCTGGACTATGTACAATTTTTCATCAGTTAGTATGTCCCCAAAGTACTCACTATAATCTGAAAGAGCCATAAACTACTTGCCTAAACAGCAGCAAACTCACATAAGACATGGTAATTTGAAGGAAGATGTGGGTTGTAACAAACTGGAAAAAGCAAGCAGGTGGGTAACTCATTCTCGGCCTTTCCACCCCGCACGAGGAGGGAGTATGCAGTCCCAAACGACCAGGTGACAGATTACCGCATCGGGAGACACAATGGTGGGGTACCAAACCGCTGTCAGATCCAAACCTCTGTCACTAAGAGACTCCCGATATCGATACTTGGAATGACGGAGACTGACAGCTGTAAAAATCCTCAAGATCTAAATCTTCACCTATTTAGGAAACACTCCTTTACGTGTAACAGGTATTGACTTCGGTCTCTCTCCTCTATTCTTCCCTCCCTCTCTCCTTCTCCCACCCCACTCTGCCGCCCCCCCCGCCCCCCAGGCCTCAACAGATTGGACCAAGCCACACCCCTCCACCCAAGGCACATTCCCGTACAACAGCCCTGGAAGACATTAAAGGAGAGCCCACCGAGAGAGGAAATTAAAAACTTCTTGAAACCATGGTAATCAAAGTCTGACGGCTAGCGGAACATTACGATTAACGTCACTCGGGAAGAGAGAGGGTTACAGACATATCCGAGACGTGTACGCGGGTGAGGGGGAACGAGAACCACACGGGATTTGGGTCGCGCGGTTAACGCGCACGTCCCCGGAGGAAGGGCATTTGCAGACGGGGAAAAGAAAACTTGGGGTTAACTCGTCCGGAGCTCATACGTGGAAGGGACGGGGGAAGCAGCGGCCCTTATTTTTCGGGGCTTAGAGGCAAAACTCACTTTCACCCCAGGGGGAAAAGAAAGCGTGGGTCCCGCCCAAGCCGGGTTGGGAGGCGGGGCCTGCAGCGACCCCGAGGACGGAGGCGGGGCCGGGCAGCGGGGCACAGGCAACCCGCTAGCCAAGGCGCTAGGCTGCCCGCGAGCCTCGGGAGGACGGGATCGCGCGTGGCGGGCCCCGGCTCGGCGGCAGGCTCGGGTCAGGCCCAAGGGCTGCGGCCTACCGAGGAGCCGACCGCGCGTCGCGTCAGCTCCAGGGCCAGGGCGGCGGGCCGGGCGGCCTCGAACTAGCCCCGGGCCCGGGAGGGGGGTGGAGGCGGCGAGCACGGGCGCGCCCCCGCCGCCCCGCGCGCCGCCGAGCACCCCACGCGCCGGGGCGCGCGCTAACCCCCAGAGAAAGCCGCGTGTGGTCGTCAGGAGCACGACTGCAGGCCCGGCTCCTTTGCCGCTCGCCCCGTCCACCCCGCCCCGGGCCTGGGACTCCACACTGACCTGACAGGCCGAGACATGTTCGCTGTCGAGGCACGACCGAGTCAAGGAGCCGAGGATCGGGACCCCCCTCCCCGCGCACTCGGCGCCCCACCCCCCCGCTCCGGCCGGCCGGCGGGGCCGCTGCTGCCGAGGCCCGAGCTGCTGGCTTCTCCGAGTCCGCGGCTGCTTGTTTCGGGCCCCTGGATCTGACGAGCCCCCCGCTCCCCCGTCTCCTCAAAATGGATGAATCAAACCAGCCGAAAATGCGCCAAAGCCGTGGTGTAACCAAACGCGCTAGGGCCTGGGCGCTCCGCCCCAGCACGCCCGCTCATTGGCCACTACTGCCAGACGCGCCCTAGCCATTCGTCCGTTTGAATCATCACGCCTCCAAGGCCCCGCCCCACTCCCGGATAGGCCCCCGCCTCCTCCATGGGGTCCTGTTAGTCAAGATGCGCTGAGAGCACAGGCCTGCAAAACAAAAATGGTCGCCGATTGCCCGCCCCCCGGCTTCCACGCCAGAGCTGCAGATTCGGCTTGGGTTCAGTCTTGAGCCTCCCAAAGAACCTGATTTATATAGAGTTCAGTGTGGATCAGATGTTCGTGAAATAGATTTAATTGCTCCTAGCGTGATTTTTTGCAAATCAGCTAGTTGAAAGACTAGCTGAGATAGGCAGCAGATTCGTCACTAAGGGACTACTTCAGAATTGGAGGGAAATTTCTTAGGTTCAAAAATTTGACCTTAATCTTAGGAACCCTGTGCTCTGGCTTCAGCGTCAACTTCCCAGGCCTCAGCCACGCTGCTGGAGTTGAGAGTTATGCTCACGATCAAGGAATAGCTTCGATCCCGTTCTTCATTCTCCAGATCGATCTTTGTGAGCTACTTCATACTCGTTAAAATCCCATTTACCGACATTACCATTTCAAAGAGAAAGAGGTGGATGGTTAGGAGTGGGAGTGGTGGCAAAATACTTGCTTCCGAATTCTAAGTACCCCACTTAGCAATTGAATCGGTTTCCCTCTCTACCCCTCAATTTCACGACCAGCAGAAAAGGGAACATTACCTTATTATTAGAATAAACAAGGCCCTGAGTTGAATGGCCTTTAGGTTGGGTAATTTAAGGTTCAGTTTTTAGTAGAAGAAGTAGTTGGGGCTGCTTCAAGACATTTGAATTATAACTAAGGGCAACTCAGATTATCTAGTTAAAATATATAGGCATTTACTGAACGCCTAAATCTCTCAGGAGGGCGCAGTAGCCCTGTAGCAATAGCTGGGATTTATGTTATAGATTGGATCATCTGTCCCCCAGCGGACCGTGTGCCAACGTGGCCAGTCTGTGATAGAGTGTTTATGAGGCAGGAAATTGGGTGGAAGTCAGGATATCAAGGGTGCTCTTAAAGCTGTCGGGACCACGGCTTGACCACCCCTGTTTGTTTCCCTGTGGCCACAATACGATCAGTTTTACTTTGCTGACAGGCTTTGCACCACGATGTTCTACCTCTTAGCAGGTCCAAAGCCACAAGGCCAAGCAGCCCTCGATGGAGACACGTGACACCATAGCAAAATAAATCTGTTCTTATAAACTGGTCTTTCGAGTCACAGTGAAAGAAAACTGACACTTTACCAGCACATGCAGGCTGTAGTCCTTGCCACAGGCAATGTTAATAACCATTTGGAAGATGGGGGTGTGGTGGCGCAGTTGAAAACGCTTGCCAGCCTGCAGAAAGTCCTGAGTTCAGTTTTCAGCACAACCTAAAATGGGGCGTGGTGCAGAGGTAGAAGTTCAAGGTCACCCTGACTAACACTGAAGACTGTGGAGGCTACGAGAACTCCAGAGTTAACAACAAAACCAAGTGAAGATATGGTCCCCAAGCCACAGACCACATCACTATCTGCTTCCTGAAAGTCTCCATAGTAAAACTGGACTTCTCTGAGGGAAGAGAACAACATAATACAAGAAAAAAACATCTTAAAAGTTATACTTGGGCTGGAGAGATGCTCAGTGGTTAAGAGCATTACCTGCTCTTCCAAAGGTCCTGAGTTCAATTTCCAGCTACCACATGGTGGCTCACAACCATCTGTAATGAGGTCTGGTGCCCTCTTCTGACCTGTAGACATACACACAGAATATTGTATACATAATAAATATTTTTAAAAAAGTTATCCATGATCCTTTCCATTCAAAATCATTCACTTTAAAAAAGGTGTCAAAAAAAAAAACTCCAACATAACTGGGAAGTGGTGACACAAGCCTTTAATTCTACCACTCAGGAGGCAGAAGCAGGCAGATCTCTGAGTTCAAGGTCAGCCTGGTCTATAGAGTAAAGTCTAGGACAGCCAGGGCTAAACAGGGAAATCCCCAATCCCATCTTGAAAAACAAAACAAAAATCTGTGACACAAAATGTAGCATCTTAGCCGCGTTATTTTTATTTATTTATTATATTATTATTAGTTTTTCAAGGCAGGGTTTCTCTGTGTAGCTTTGGAGCTTGTCCTGGAACTCACTCTAGACCAGGCTGGCCTCGAACTCACAGAGATCTGCCAGCTTCTGCCTCCCAAGTACTGGGATTAAAGGCGTGTGTCACCATCTTAGCCACTTCTAAGTGTACATTCTGTGGCATTAAGTACATTCATAGTGTGCAACTATCCCCAAAATCCATCTCCAGAATTCCTTTTTTTATTACATCCCTCCAGTGTGTGTGTGTGTGTGTGTGTGTGTGTGTGTGTGTGTGTGTGACACCATGAATGTAGAAGCCAGAGGAATATTCTCAGGATCAGATTCTCCCCTGCCACTATGTGGGTCCTAGGAATCAAAACAAATGCTTTTACCTGTTGGGGTGGGAGGATCACCCGAGCCAGGAGTTCAAAACTAACAGGGAGGAACAGAGTGAAACACCCACCTCAACTCAAGAGGGAGGGCAGTGGAAGATGGCTTAGGAAGTAGATTCTTACTGCCAAGCCTGCTAACCATCTCCAGGACCTACATGGTAGAAGATGTCTTCTGATTTTCTGCTATACACTAACGTTTTAAATAAAGACAGTAGGGGGCCTGGAGACATGGCACAAATTGCCCTTCTAAAAGACCCAAGTTAGGGTCCTAGCACCCACCACCTGCAACTCCCAGGAATCTGATGCCCTCTTCTGGTCTCCATGGGAGCATGCGCGTGCAGGTGTGCGCGCGCGCGCGCGCGCGCGCGCGCACACACACACACATATACACACATACACATATAAAAATAAAATTTAAAGATGATAAGAGATGGGGTTGGAACTTGGTGGTATTACATGTGCTTAATATACAGCCCTGAGTTTATCTCCAGCAATCTGCACGTGTACACAGGTATGTACATTCACGTGTGTGAACACACATGTGCACGCACACGCGCACACCCACCCACCCAAACAACTAAAGCTGGGCAGAGCTGATCTGGCAGGACTGATGAATTTCCCATGATCCAAAGAAAACCCAACCCATTTTCTTCAAATACTGTGCTGTAATACCTAGGACCTTTTCCTCCTCCTCCTCATTCTTCTTTTCTAACTTGGCGAAGAATTGTATTAACCTTTTCTCAAACCTGATTCCCAGGCTTCTTCAGCTTACTACAAAGAATGAACTGTATATAAACAAGAACTGAAAAGAGTTGCAACATCCAAGGGGGCTTGGACGTAAAAATATTCGAGAGATTTCTGAAAGCAGTCACGTCAAGGACTAGCAGCCCCAGTAACTTCTCCCCGTTTCATCTTTCTCACAGTTGCCTCGGTTCCGTTTGCCCCATTCTTAGAAGCCTCATCGAAATTCTCCACATGGCCTGCAACTTCCTCGTCCTCTCCAGTGGCAGCTGATGCTGTGCCATTCCCCAGTTGTTTGGGCAGAGCTTCTGCCAGTCTCCTTGAGCCAGTCAGGCTGTCTGCACAGAGCGGATGTAGGACATTGGGAAGCGTCTCTGCCGAATGGTGGAAGTGTTTTCGGCCTGAACTTCAGGGTGTTAAAATGGATCATTGTTCCTCTTCAATACGAGAGATACTGTTTACACCTAAGAGAACTGGAGTTCTTCGTCATCTGCTGCGGCTATACTATATGAACCCCCTTCTTTCTGGGAACAGTTCCCTTTTCACCAATATGCACTTGTACCCACGCTCTGGCGAGTTTTTCCTGGGCCATGATAGCTTTTTTCACTTGGTTGGAGCAGAAAAGGGGCTGTGAGGGTGACTAGGGTTCGTGCTCAGGGGGTCTCTGGCAGAGCAGCTGAGATTAGGGGCACACAAGTGGGGATGCGAGAGGTGGCTAGAGGGGACACAGGGAGTCCTTGGAACTTTGAAAAATGCCTTACAGTGCCTACTCTGCGCAGGGCATGTCTAGTTCTGTTCTTCTAGTTCTAGTTCTGTTTCTTTTTCTTCTTTTCTACAATGAAGACCCGGTCTGTTACTTAGCCCAGATTGGGCTAAAACTCCTGATCCTCCTTCTTACCCCTCCCAGGTGTTGGGATCCCAGGCCTGTGCCACCACATCTGGCTGTTCTTAAAATTTTCTATTTCTAAGAACTAGGCACACATCTGTGATCCCAGCCCTGGGAAGTGGAGGCAGAAAGATGAGAAGTTCAAGGATACACACATAGTTTGGAGCTAGAGACTCTGTTTCATTAAAATATCCAAATAACTATGTATTTTATTGTGTTTTATGCATATGGGCATTTTGGCTGCATATATGTGTGTGTGTACCATATGTGTGCCTGGTACCTGGGGGGAGGACAGAATAAGATACTGGACCCCCCCCCCCTCCAGGCACTGGAGTTATAGACAGTTATGAACTGTCATGAGGGTGCTGGGAATCAAACCTGGGACCTTTGGACAAAAAGCCAATGCTCTTGGGCTGGAGAGATGGCTCAGTGGTTAAGATCACTGACTGCTCTTCCAGAGGTTCTGAGTTCAATTCCCAGCAACCACATGGTGGCTCACAGTCATCTATAATGAGACCTGGTGCCCCCTTCTGGCTTGTGGGGCACACATGGAAGGAATGCTATACACATAATAAATAAAATAAATATTAAAAAAAAAGCCAATGCTCTTATCACTGAACCATTTCTCCAGCACCCTCACCCAAAAGCTTAAATCAATGAAATCTCACATCCAGTCTGCTGACTCTGCCACTCTAAGTGCTACTCATGGGACCTGGGGCTCTGTAACTTTGGTTTGCCCCTGTAGAGCCCGAGGCTAGGATAGCACATGGTTAGATGTCGCCATCTTTTCAAGAGCTTCTCCTTC